GGATAAATTTGTTAACCTTTTCAGGCTGAATATAATTAATTTGCTTAAGAAACAATGCTAATTTGTAGCAAACAAGAAGACATTAGGTTCAATGAGGAAATGTAAGATAATTTTTCAGCATATATGGAACCACAACACGAGTAACAAACAAAATAGCATATGACATGCAATATTTAGGTCAACGTTAGATTTTTATTAAAAGAAAAAAAAGAGACATGAAATTCTCTGATCTGCCGTCAGTAACACTTATGACAATTTTTTTTTTAATTAAAAAAAGAGACATGAAAACTCAAAGCCAGCCTCCACTAGGAATTATAACTAACCAAGTGTTCAGCACCTAAAAGATGATAAGGTGAATACCCTCTAAGACTTCAACTTTGGGTGTAGTTGACTTACTAAATTACCAAATCTGAATGCCAGAATTTACGAGAAAGTTGTTACGATTGAATTCCTAGCATAAATGTTAGCCAACATTCATCTCTCTTTGAAAGACAACTATACCTTCTTGTACATGGGTGCCACTTTGATAACCAATAGAACTTTCAGGGAAAATAGACTCTGCGAAGAGCTGAATACCCCGAAATCTCTGAAGGACATGAAGAGAATTCGTACTTCGTGTGCTCTGTATAACTTTTAGTAACAAAGACAAAATAAAACCACTGGAAGATTGGAGTTCTGCATACAAAGAATCAAGCCCATATGTTGGGGCCATACTAGTCCTTTGGCAACGAGAAGCAACTTCCATCGACATGAGAGAGTATTTAAGAGTATCCCACATGATTATTGACTGGCTCACCACAGGAAATCCAGGGAATTTGTTCTGCTTTTTTGGAAAATACATCCTGGATAGCACACAAGATACAGATTCAAGATCTGACCTTGTTCTTTCATTTCTGAGCAGGGGGGAAGCTTTAAGAATGTAATCCTGTTGAGTCTCACCGGCAGCAGAGCGCAACAGACATAAGGCTTGCCTAAGCTGAAGAGAATGAATTTCTTCATTTGATGTAACTGAAGGTCCAGCAGCAGATGCTGGATTAATATTTGAAGCCACAGGATGCTTCCAAGCCTGCTGCAAATCCTGAGGAGTTGCAGGCAAGACAGAATTTGCCAATAGTCGGCACACAGGGCAAAGAAACTCTCCCTGACCAGAAAAAATAAAAATTACATAAAGAAATTGCTACAGAAAAAGGAAAAACAAGGAAAGAGCATCCATTAAGAAACAAACATCAAATTCCTTATAACCACTAAAAAAAAGAAATATAGGCTGGTACCTGCTCTGGATCAACAATATGAGCACCTTCGAAAACATTTCTTCTGACGTACCTACACAGAATAGAACCTATTTTAAGGCTTCATATTATTTATATAAACACATAATCTTTTCTAATGTCAGCTTTTCTTATTAATCAACAAATAAGTGATATACAAAGGCCAGACCAATCGGTACAGTAGTTAAGGTCCTAAAGGCACTTTTAGGTTCAACTCATTATTTCCTTAACAATCTTCAGAAATCCTAAATTTTAGAGTTGTGGATCAATTCAGATGTCTTATTTATTTTATTTACTAGTTGTCATCTATTCAATCTTGTCTATATTCTTTCAAGATTTTCAACAATTAAAACAAAAAAACAAGACCTTTGCACACACAATT